TGTTTAGCTCGTTGGGTCACAGAGGTGCACAAGCCATCACACCACGCCAAGGTGTAGTCTCGTAGTGATGGTGGATGTCGATACTCGTTCTCTGAAAGCAGGAACCGCTCTACGCCACCTCCCATAGTTCAAACGCATTTAGTCTATCTCTGCCCTTTTTTCGCCCTTCCATGTTCTCTTCACGAAAGTGGGGAAAGTTGTTATAAGCGACACTGTAGTAGGGTCATAAAATGGTGTACAGATGTGAAAAAGGTAGCTTCGGTACTGATTTCGGCTTCCATAGCTCACCTCTTAGGTAAACGATAAATTAACCGATTCGTGGAATGCACTGTTCAATCTCATCCCGTGTTTCTCGTTAACCGCATGGACTATATTCTTGCCTGATTTGATGGTACAGACAACCGTTGAAAATATTTATTTATTTGCCTCCGATCAAGAAGGCTGCCTACTGCTATGGCTACCAGATGCCAGTTTTTCACTGACGGATCAAAAACGCATCTCGATAGGACTCAGATTGTTTTGTTTCGCATCCACAACTTGGTTGTTTTCTGTGATTGCTTGGTTCGGGATTTACGAATACAATGCACGAGAAAAGAAAACAAAATTAAGAAACAAGTGAACAGTTTACCTTTGTTCTCCAGCTGGAGAATCAATTCTCGCACATGGAACGAAGCAATGAAGCGTTTCCGTTTCGTTGCGAACAGCTCGGGTCCGATCGTGTGTGCCACTGGTCCCTGATTGGTAGCAGATGAAACTGAAGAAGCACGCGGAACAGGATTTACTATGGTGTTTTCCGGTGTACGTGGCGCAGAGAGATCCCAGTTACTGTCGGACATAAATCTCGTCGTGAACTGAAGACATTTGAGCAAATTGTACACTTTGGAATCGGACAATTGGATCACACAACGCTCCTGTTCCAGTGTGAACCAGAAAGTGGGTGGACAATCCCGATTGATCAATTGCGGATAGTAGCGGGTCTGCAACTCAGAGAATGGGATAACTCGACGACTGACAAGCAGACGTAAATTCAACCGATCGATTAAACAAAGTCGATTGGAGAGTCGCGGAGTGCCCAAAGAAAATGTGGCACTGTCTGGGCTACGAATATTAGCACACGAGTCGGGATCAACTGTGCGGGGAAGAAATAGTGAAGATCACGAATGACTGGATAGACAACACCTCGAATAGAGAAAATATAAAAAATCGGTCCGCTTGTCTAAGCAGCGTTTTACCGTACATTGAAAAAATACCGAAAAATAACAGGTGACATTTATGCTATAGATGGTTCCGTCAGAGAAAACTTGAACCAATGACCTTAGTTGAGAATGGGAACATTGAACTATGGTTTGTTGGCATATGGCTGAAATAGATCACACGGAATAACTGACAAGTTGGGCTCATATTTTGTAAATCAGGTGGGTGTTTGAGAAAACAACGAGGATCACGTACGTCAATATATCTGGTTATAATAACCCGATGAAAGTCTGACTAAAGTTCGAAACGTTGTCATCAGCACTACGTAGCAAACATACGGTTTTCTTGATGTCTGGGAATGAAATCACCTACAGAAATGCAAATAGCGGATAAAGTGAGTTTAAATCCTGACACATTTAATCGATTTGGAATTGAACCACTGAGATTTATCATTGTAGATGCATAACAACATGGACATATCGAACAGTAATTCATCAAGGGAAGCTATAACTGAGACGATTTGTGAACTTACATCCGCCAGGATCTTCACCCAGCTGGGAACTGGTCCACAGTCCTAATTTTTCCAATTCGTACAGTTTGCCAACCAACACGTGCAGATCTTCCAACTGAATGACAAATGATTCGTACAGATTTTGAGATTTCGATATTTTTAGGGATTCCAGTTGGGTTCTGTGTGAAGAAGGTAAGAAAGTAATAAACCAACATAAA